TGGTGGAATGGAAGGATTGGAGTGAGGAACTGCTGTGGACAGCACTCAAAGCCGCAAAGATGTAAGCTCCTACAAGCGAACTGGAGCAGAGCCTGGTCTGGCGCCAGGCCACGCTACCGGTGTGCCTCGGGGGCTTGGGGCTGATAGACCCGCTTACGGAGGCACCAGCTGCATACCTGGCCTCCCTCCACGCGGCCAACACTCTCCTCAGACACATGGCGATGACGGCCGACAACCCACTGCAGCGGGTGACAGACCTGATGTCACCACTCGGAGGAATCCAGGGGGCAGCGGCAGGAGGGGTGACGCTCGGGGACCTTCGGAACCGGCTCCCTGACCAGGCTCGGGAGGTCCTGAAGGAGCACCACCAGAAGGGGGAGGTAAAGGGGCACCTGCAGCTGATCCTCTCAAAGCACATAAACCTAGACCGGGTGGCCGAGCTCGTGGGAGACACAAGGGCGGACAAGCCCGGAGCCGACAATGGACACGTGATTCGGCTCATCAGCCTGCGAGGGGTGGGGGCAGGAGATTGGTTACACGCTATCCCCACAAGGGGTGACCTCACTTTCTCCCGCGGACAGTTTGCAGTGGCGCTCGGGTTCCGGCTAGGTCTGCCCGTGGCGGTCACGGAAAAGTGCCCCTGCAAAGGGAAGCGGTCAGACATTGGGGACAGAAGCCTGCCAAACCACCTGCTGCGGTGCGCCGATGGAGGGGACAGGACTAACAATCACAACGCCCTGGTGTACCAGCGCTCCGGATGGCTCAGGAAGCGGACTACACAACCTTGCACGAGTCAGCGGCCTTCTCGCCCATAACCAACCAAAAGCGAGCGGACGTGGTGATTCGCGAGAAGGAGTCCAACGAGACCTATGTCACGGACGTGACGGTCACGGACCCGGTCCTGCAGCGGAGGGATAAGAGAGCGGTTAAGGCACCGGGGTGGGCGGCAGAGGACGCGGCACGAGTGAAGCGGGGCCTGTATGAGGGCCGGCCGGGTTTTGTAGGGGTGTTTGGCCTGGCGGTGGAAACCTACGAGGCCCTAGCTAGGGACACCCAACAGTTCTTCCGCCTCCTGGGCACCCAGGTGGCTAAGAAGAAGCACAGACAGGGGAGGCTAACTGCTGTAGCCTCCCGAATCACGGCACATTACCGGCAGCGTTGGTCGGTGATGCTCCAGCGCTGCCAGGCAAATGCCCTGATGACCAAGTCCAACAGGGCACTTGAGGCAGCGCACCCACAGGCAGCGGCGGACCCGTGGGAACCAAGCCTCGGGGACCTGTGGCAGGTCCTCGAAGATGACCTGGCCCAGCTACTCGACTTGGGGGAGTAGAGGGCCGGGTCAGACCATAGGGGCCCGCCCACAAAGAGGGCTCCCCTCAGCCGAGCATGACAGGAGGGGATTGAGGCGCCCTGCAGGAGGATGAGCAGGCCAGCAAAGATGCAACAGTAGGGACAGGTGTGGCGATTACGCAGCCAAGCATGGCAAGCCGGCCCAACATAAGCCCAGATTGTGATTCTGTTCATTATAAACATGCATGCCTAGGCCAATATGCTTGTTAGGATTGCTGTTGCCTAGCCTGTACCCTATACACACATCAATGAAGGACTGCTTGAGAGAGAGAGAGAGAGAGAGAGAGAGAGAGAGAGAGAGAGAGAGAGAGAGAGAGAGAGGAGAGAGAGAGAGAGAGAGAGAGAGAGAGAGAGAGAGAGAGAGAGAGAGAGAGAGAGAGAGAGAGAGAGAGAGAGAGAGAGATGGCATAGCCTTAGTCCTCAGCCATTTCTAGGCCTCTCTTCTCTAGGATCTAGTCCTTAGCCATTTCTAGGCCTGTTTTCTTAGTATAAAGGCCCTGGATCTAGGCTAGGGAGCTCATTATTCACTGGTGAGTTAGGTTCACTCTCCAAAACCGACGGCTCGCGCCGGCCACCTTCGGCGGCCGCCGCTCGCCGGCACGGCCTTCGGCCGCGCGTGAGGGGTGACAAGGGAGAACGACAGGCATAACTTCAAATGCTAGTACAACATCCATTCGTAGATCATCATCAACCACAACGTCAGCCCCGGGCGTGACTACACTGCCATGGGGAAGCCCAAGGCCAGGCCCGCCCCCAAGGGAGCCGGCAAAGGGAAAACGGCGGCTACTCGGCGATTATCCACGACAATCGCCCGTCCATCCAGCATAGGACGGATGCAGCGGTTGGTACAATGTCGAGCGGGGACTGCACGGCGGCAAGGACAAGCCGCCTCAGCGCGGCGGGGCCAGGCCCCAGGGCAGAGCCAGGGGATCCTGGCACCAGCCCGATCTCGGGCAACAGACGCAGAATCTGCATTGCCGCCGACACCGCCTTTGCCTGCTCCTGCTCCGACAACAGGGGGGGGGGACAACGCCACGACGCCGCAACCGTAGCTGATAAATGCTCAGCTGGTCCAGAACCATCGCCACCAAGGACAGACACGTCCCTACGTTCGTTACGCACTGCTCGACGCGAAGCGCTCTCTCGTCAGGGGGAGGCTCCTCCCAAAAACTCCAACGATGCTGGGGGGATTCGGGCTGTGTGGGCGCCAGAGCAGCAGACGGCAGAGACTCCCACGGTGGTGCCCCGTGTCGCTGAGGTACGCTCTGAGTCGCAGCCCGCCCAGGAGACTGCAGCGGGGTTGTGCCCGGACCTCCAGGTGCAGGAGCCTGACGTGACTCCGGAGACGCCGGAGGAGACCCGTGCTGCGGCGGCTGATTTTGCTGCAGCCGTCGAGGCAATTGGCGAGGTGGGCGGTTTGGCCGACGCTGATTGCGCCGAAACGACTGCTGTTGACGGGGCCGCAGAAGTGACTGGAAACGGCCAGGAGGTGAACGGTACATTGGCTCACGAGACCCGCGGTGTCAGGAGCGCGGGCCGCGGGAGGACCGGGAGGATGCATGCCCGGCCAGCACCGCGGCGGCCTGGAGCAGGGCTGGCGCCTGGTCGCCCTGGGCCCCTCCTGGGCTGGCTTCTGCAAGGGCAGCCACCACAAGTGCAAGCGCGCCAGTCGTCATCTGCAGCAAATGTGGGAGCCGGGGAGGGAAACGCCCGCCATGAGCATCTCTACAAAATACAAGAAGGAAAAAGAATGCAAAAAAAATTCACGGGGACTGCTTGATGTTTTCCCTTGCCATCAATGCTCGTGGTTTATCATGTGGAATGCTCAACAGTACAGGTTTGCTCGAGGAATCATTGCAATGTTTGTTCGAGCAATCTTGAGTAGGCTCGGCAAGGAGTGCACCAGCATACACCCAACATTGCTCATCCTCACTAAAGCAGCTGGAAATTCATGTAAGGGTTCTCTTTAACGGATCAATTATCACAGTACACACATCCCATTATAATTGAAATTAATGTAATATGCACAAATTACAAAAATACTATCAAAATATCAGTCATTTCAGACAAATGCAAAATCGTGAAACACATGAATTCTGCGCTGGAAATTAGTAATCCCAAACTTACATTTGCAATTTACAAAATGATAGCCATGATCCAAACTGTCACCTGCCAACCTCACCAGTAACTTACAATCCTATTTAAATACCCAAGTACATGATAATCCACAAAGCAGGTACCTAACATGCAGTAACTAATGGCTTATTTCGGAGGTACTGCAGAACACAGCAGAGTTAGAGCAAAGCGCCAGCACACGTACGATAAACACAGACGACGTAAAAACACCACACGAATCTACCCATCCTGGATGTCACTGACATGCTCGGAACAGCATCCTAATAAACCCATCCAGGAACCGCGATAATCACAGTGCTAACATGGCGATAAAATTTATGAAGAAAAATAAAAACTTGGCAGTATCTTTAGAGGCTTGCCGATAATCTCTAGTCGCTGATATGGAGAGTTGTCATGCGCCCTGGTATTCTGCAAAAACAATGTGCTCACAAGGTCGCAATACACAAAGCGTATTGGGCTGAAACCGAAACTCACCTGAGTGATCCTTATTTTGCCAGTCACGAGCGGCAAAATAAGGAGGGGGGAAAATAAGGAGCGACTCACCTTCCTTATTGGGGCGTGGGAAGGTAGCTTAATCACGAGCTCGATGCAGCTGGTCAAAACTTCACAGAAGAAACCGTCCGCCACATCAGTCTATTCATAGCCTGCAAAGCGACGGTCCAGAAACAAAAATAGACACACATATTTGGAGTGGATAGATAGGAGCAGCAAGAGCACGGCGGAAGCTAAGCGAGTGAAAGAAAAGTGATGGAAACAGCAACACGTGAAAATGAACGTATTCTGGGCTGTGGATGAAGTTTGAAGGGGGGGGGGGGGGGGGGGGGGGGGAGGAGCATCTCGCACACCAGAAGCAAGCACAACACATTGGCAAAATGATGACGAAATCGCGAAGACTTCGTTCGTATCTGGTGTGTTCGAATTGTGAAGGCTTCGTTCGAATCGTGAAGAGTTCACAACTGTGGGTTCAGAGGGAACATGACGAAATTGGCGAGGTGGAAACCCTATGCCTTGTGTGTTTCTACTCGTCACATTGGAGTAAACCGATCCGCGCTGTCACATCTGATTGTGACACCACACCGTTCAGAAGTGACGCTGTTTTCTGACGTGTCAGCAGCAACACCTTATCTGAACCAAATCTCGCTTTGGTCTGCTCTGTTACAACGACACCAAATTTCTGACAATGCGAATTCAGAACTCAGATTCATGGAAGTTCGATACCACTGTATACCCAACAGAACCGAAGTAGAATCTTTGGGTCCAACCAAATTGGCACGTGCGTTGCGGTTTCGATGCAAACCGATTGTGGCTGCAGAGACAATGAGGAAGGGGAGACATTGTTCACCAGTTTCACAGCAAAGCTTCAGCACTGCTTACCCTCCTAAACACTGTTTCACGTAACCCTAGTCATTGCTCGTGCATGGGTCAGTGCGCAAAGATGGGGAAAACCCCGATTTGGGCATGGGGTGTGGCGTTTCACATTTTGTAGAGATCAGCTTCCGGCACAAGCACAGACAATGCAGCGGCGTGGCGAGACCACCAACGGCGACCCCGCCATTACTCACCGCGAGACACGGAGCTCCGCCCGCAGACGGAATGTGACTTGGGGCAGACCGACAGGTGTGGGCTCGGCCGCGCCTCAGGCGCCGTGGGTCCCGACTGGTCGCGTATCACGCTCTGTGGCGGTGGGAGCTCGAGGAGGTGGTGGCGGAAACAGGGGAAGAACAGGCGGGCGGAGGGGAGGAGGCAGGGGGCAAGCGGCGCTGCTCGGGGGAGAAGTGGCAGTTGTGAGATCTGGCACATGGCGGGAACGCCACGATCAACCAGAGGCTGTACCTACAGCTGCGAACGGGACAGTACAAGGGTCTGAAGGGACAGGAGAGGGGAGCGAATTTATCCCCAGCCGTTCGCAGTCAGCGGAGGACGAGGAAGCAGAGGGGGAGTCAGATGTGCAGGGGGGCGCGCGGCACCAGGGAAGAAGACCAAACGCTGACGATCCACACGTCCCTGTGCCCGATGCGGCGGGTACGGTGACGGGGCAGCCGAGTGAGAAATCTCCAGCTGACCTGGCAAAACTTGATGCCATTTGGGTGATGGCGAGCAAATGGGATGTGGCGCCACTCCAGCGACACGATCAACCCTTCCTGGTTCGGCGATTGCCACCGAAAATCTTAGAGAGTTACACATTGTGCCTGCTCGCCCCACTCCTGCGACTCGGGAAACACCCTGACTGTCCAGGTGCTTGGACAATTCTACAGTATTTACCGAGATTGACTCTGCGGCATGACCCTGAACCTGTTGAAGGCAACAGGTGGCTGACGATCGAGACTCGCCTGCACCATTTCAGACTTGGTGACTGGACGGAACTTTACACCAATGCCTGTGTTATCCCCGCTACGGGTGAACCAGTAAGACACCAACCCGACAACGCAGGCCCCTGTGCACGAGCTGAAGGACTCATTAAAAAGGCCAACCTCTCCAAAGCAGTTACGGCGTTACAAATAACGCCGCTCGCCGAGTCAACACCTGCGACACTCTCCGCCCTCCAATCGAAACATCCCGCGGCGGAGATTGAAATCCCGAACTGGGTAACCGGTCAAACTGCCTCGTCAATCAGTGTGACACCTGACGACGTCCGCGAGACCCTTGCGAAGTGCCCAAATGGGATTGGAGCGGGGCCCTCAGGCACGTGTTTTGAACATCTCAGGGACCCAGCACACTGCAACGCAGAGGTGCTACTCCTGCTCACGCAACTCATCCGCGGCTTACCCAACGGCAAGCAAACGCAGGCGGTTCGTGATCTGGTCCTCCCGTCCCGCTTGATCGCCCTAGAGAAGCCTGGTGGCGGAGTCCGTCCGATCGCCATCGGTGAAGCCCTACTCAGATTAGCGGCGAAGGTGGCGCTAAAGGAGCTAGCGCCTGTGATACGCGAATTCTTCCTCCCCGTCCAGTACGGAGTGTCTGTACCGGGAGGCGCTGAATGTATAATCCACACGGTCCGCTCACTGCTGCACGATAATGACGACCACATCGCCCTGCAGCTCGACGTAGAGAACGCATTTAACAGCATCGAGCGGGCGGCTTTCTTCACCACCCTCTCACGAACGGACCTTCACCAACTGTTGCCGCTGGTCGGAACGCTTTATGACAGGCACTCGCGTCTCCTAGTAGACCCGCGTTTAGGAACGGACCGCATCGTCTCTTCCCGTGGGGTCAGACAGGGGGACCCACTCGGCCCACTACTCTTCGCAGCAGCCATTCAGCCCATCTTGCAAAGCGCGGAATCCCTCGTGCCTGAAGCAGCAGTTGTCGCGTACGCTGACGACATCACAATCGTTGGACCCAGAGATGCCGCATTCCAAGCGTTTGACATAATCGTCACGGAGTTAAGGAGATGCGGGCTGCGATGCAACATTGCGAAATCAGCTGCTTGGGGTCGGTCTTTGGGAGAGGATGAGAACGAGGAGCTGCCACATGGTTTGGTGAGGAGTAGGGAGGGAATCAGAGTGTTAGGGAGTCCTATTGGGACCACGGAGTACTGCACGCACCAGGTCCGCGCAGAGCTCACCAAAGCCTCTGCTCCAGTGCCTCTCATCGCCCAACTGCACCCGCAGCATGCGCTACTACTCCTGTCCCGGAGCATCTCACGCCGCATCTCTTATCTGCTCCGCACAACGCCAAGTGACGCTCTACAAAGGGACGAATGGAGGCAATGGAGTGAATCACTGGTGGGAGCTTCACTAGCAGCGGCCAAGCTGAGAATCCCCACCTCGGAGTTGGACCGAAGCCTCCTCTGGCGACAGGCCACTCTACATGTGCGACTGGGCGGCCTGAGCATTGTTGACCCCATCTCGGAATCACCAGCAGCGTATATCGCCTCGGTTACAGCGGCACGGCAGCTGCTTTCACAGATGCACCTATCCGAGGTGCACCTTCTCAGCCGCGCAGCAATGCTTTTGTCACATGATTGGTCACCCGATCCACCAAGGGTGAACCGGGTGGCGGCACTAGAGTCTGCACTCCCGGTAGAGGCACAAGCAGCCATGCATGCCTACAGAACGGGGCCGGCGGGACAAGGGAACCTGCAGGTAGCCTTGTCCAGGCACATCAACACCAGGAGGGCAGCAGAGCTCCTCGCTGACACGATGGTAGATAAACCGGGAGCAGAGTGTGGGCACGGGGTGCGGCTTGTTAGCCTGAGAGGGGTGGGGGCGGGGGACTGGTTGCAGGCGGTGTCGAAGAGAGCTGACCTTACATTATCCCCTGGTCAGTTCTCGATGGCCCTAGGATTCCGCCTTGGCCTGTCCCTACCCGTCACAGTGACATGCCTTTGCAAAAAGGACGGCTCCAGCATCTCAGACACTAGCCTAGCTAATCACCTGCTGCGCTGCGGGGTTGGAGGGGATGTGGTGTGGACTCACAACAGCTTGGTGTATGCCGCGGTCAGAATGGCTAGGGAGGCGGGCTTCAACACGTTTCACGAGACCTCGGTCTTCTCCCCGCCCGTCATGCGCAAACGTGCCGACCTAGCCTTTCAGGATAGGGAATCGGCCGAGACCTGGGTCACGGACGTCACAGTTACCGATCCTGTACTTCAGAAACGGGACCCCAGGGTGAGGAAGCCGCCAGGATGGGTGGCCAGGGAAGCTTCTGAGAAGAAGCACCGTCTGTATGAGGGGCGGCCTGATTATGTGGGATTCTTTGGCTTGGCTGTGGAGACCTATGGTGCGCTAGCAACTGATACTGTGCAATTTCTCCGACTGCTGGCGGTTGCTGCAGCTAAGAAAAGATTCCGCCAGGGGCCCCTTACTACTACAGCCACGCCTTGCCGCACACTTTAGGCAGAGGTGGTCGGTCATGCTGCAATGCTCACAGGCCATCTCGTTCCTAAACAAGTCAAACATGGCCACGGAGGCGGCGTACCCCCAAGCACCAGTTGATCCCTGGGAACCTAGCCTGGGGGATCTCTACCAGGTGCTCGAGGACGACCTCGGTGGTGCTTAGACTCTGGTAAGTGAGGAGCAGAAGAGCAGCCTGAGAGAACGGCCTCAGGTGACTTGGTTTGCTTTACCAGGGTTGGGCTGCAACACTTCTTGATACGTTGGTGTGCCTCTCTTCTTGTGTATGCTTTGCTCCCTGGCGGACCTGCTTGCTTGCATGCCTAGTCTAGCATACCTGTAAGAACCGGCCCGCGCCATGCTTGTATCCTATAAACAGTATCAATGAAGGACCGCTTGAGAGAGAGAGAGAGAGAGAGAGAGAGAGAGAGAGAGAGAGAGAGAGAGAGAGAGAGAGAGAGAGAGAGAGAGAGAGAGAGAGAGAGAGAGAGAGAGAGAGAGAGAGAGAGAGAGAGAGAGAGAGAGAGAGAGAGAGAGAGAGAGAGAGAGAGAGAGAGAGAGAGAGAGAGACTGCTGGAAGTTTCTTAGGCACCACGGAGGGAGGCGCCACATTCTTAACGGAGCAGCTTCAAACAATGGCAAAACCACTACCGCTACTCGAACGCACGGACCCACAGATAGCTTCGCTTCTGCTGACTCGATGCATTTCCAGGAGAGTAGCCTACCTCACAAGGACCACCCCGCTCAGCCTTTTGCCCGGCGACACATGGTCCCAATGGGGACGGATCTGCTCGCCACGCTCTTAGCTGCATGTGGAATACGCTATCCAACGAGCGTGGCGGAACAAACGCGTGTCTGGGAGCAGGCTTCACTACCGACGTCTCTTGGGGGGATTGGCCTCACGGACCCCACTGTAGAAGGTGTAGCGGGCTTCCTCTCCAGCTTCACACAAGCGTCACTACTACTCACCTCGCTGCAGCTCGACCAAGGGGATGTCTTGACCGCAATAAAGGACCACATGCTGCTGCCACAGGTCACAACTACAGCCTTACATTCGTGGCTATCGGAGTGTGAAGCAGCACTGCCTCAAGAAGCACGGGAAATATTAGAGAAGGAGAGGTTAGAACCAGTGGGGATCAGGCTGCAGCATGCCCTCTCAGTGCAAGTCCAAGGGGGAAGGTACGCGAAGCAGGTCCAGGCGTCACGGGAGATGGCACCAAACCCATTGTATGGACACTCCCAGCGCCTCCTCTCACTGACCGGCTATGCAGCAGGGAATTGGCTGCTGGCTATCCCAATCGAGTCAACACGGCGGATTGGACCCGAGCACTTCGCAAACACCGGCAAAGTGTGACTGCTGAGAATTTTTCGAGAGAGAGCGAGAGAGAGAGAGAGAGAGAGAGAGAGAGAGAGAGAGAGAGAGAGAGAGAGAGAGAGAGAGAGAGAGAGAGAGAGAGAGAGAGGAATAGCCTCTCCCCTCAGCCCTTAGCCTCTGCCCTTAGCCTCTAGGCCCTACTTAAGGCCTCTCTTAGTGCCGTTTCTCATTGTTCGTGTGGCGGCTGAGAATTTTTCGCTCGTTCGAGAGAGACAGAGAGAGAGAGAGAGAGAGAGAGAGAGAGAGAGAGAGAGAGAGAGAGAGAGAGAGAGAGAGAGAGAGAGAGAGAGAGAGAGAGAGAGAGAGAGAGAGAGAGAGAGAGAGAGAGAGAGAGAGAGAGAGAGAGAGAGAGAGAGAGAGAGAGAGAGAGAGAGAGAGAGGAATAGCCTCTCCCCTCAGCCCTTAGCCTCTGCCCTTAGCCTCTAGGCCCTACTTAAGGCCTCTCTTAGTGCCGTTTCTCATTGTTCGTGTGGCGGCTGAGAATTTTTCGCTCGCGCCGGCCGCCTTCGGCGGCCGACGCTCGACGGCGCGGCCTTCGGCCGCGCGTGAGGGGACGGCAAGTAATCGCACACAGAGCAGTTTATAATGAGCAACATTACACGCATGGCAACAACTACCTCGGCCTAGCCGCGCAATACACTACATGGAGCAACCGGAGCCCGCGCCTACATGCGGTGAGCTCCAAGGGCATGAAGAATGCCCGTCAGGGAGCGCCAAAGCTCCCGGACCACAAGCGTGCTTGCGCCGATCGCCGCGGCTCCAGATCCTGCGTGCAAGTGTCGCCGCAGTCCACGGACAGCCTCGCCAAGCTGTCCCGCGGCAGCAGCGCCTCCCTCCGCGGGCGCAGCCAGCACGGGCGCCAGCAGCACCGCGAGCTGGTCAGCCGCGTCGAGGCACGGGTCACGCTGGTGGCTGCGAAAGGACTCGGGGGGGACAGCAGGGAGAGATGAGTGCGCAAGCACCTGAATTAGAAGCAGAGCATGCAGGCTCTCCGCGAGACGGTGGAGCTGACCAAGCGTTGTCTCAGGAACGCGCGTCTGCGGAGGCTGTAGAGCCGCCGCCAGGAACTGGAGCGGCTCATCAGCTGCATACTGAGCCGCTGCCGCGCCACCACCCGCGGCCACAAACTCCACCCCCGCAACAGGCGGAACCGGCGGCAGATGCAGGCGGGAGCCAGGAGCCGGCGCCGCCACGGAAGGAGAAGGAGCGGACGGGGCAGGGACGAGAGGAGGAGGTGCAGCAGCCGGCGGAGGGACCACAGGAGGCACAATCGGGCGAGGAGCCCCGTGCGCCGGCGCAGCCCGCAGCGAACTGCTCTGGCTCTGCGCCGCCCTCTCCTCGCGCACGGCGCGCGACACCTCCCGCGTCACCTCCCGCTGAAGATCCGCCATCGTCACAGGCGGACGATACCTCCCGCCGCCGCCACGCCCGTGGGGACCCCACCAGCCCCCATTGCCACCCGGGTGAGCGGGCCACTGGGCCTGCTGCTGGTAGCGCCGGGGGGAGTTGCGCCGGCGCCGCGACGTCTCGCGCTCCTGCTGGGGCGCTGGAGAATGGGGCCGAAAAAGACGGCGGTCGGGCGAATGGGGACGAGACTGCTGAACAACAGGGACCGCCGGCGGCAGAACGGGAGCCGTCGGGTTCGCGTCGGGAGGCGCAGCCATCGGGGCTGGCCCGACAGTGGTGGCGGACGCCGCCTTCGGGGAAGAAGCAGACGCCGGCGCTGGCACGTCGGGGACAGAGGCAGCCGGCACAGCGAGTGCGCCAGGGGCAGGACCAGGGAGGTCAACAGCACCCCCAGCAGGAGCAGACGCCATCGGAGCAACAACGGGAGCAAGGGGGACGGGAGCAGCAAGAGGAACAGGCGGAGCGACTACTGGAGCAGACGGGCCGGCCTCGCCAACGACGAGAGGAGCTGCGGGTGCGGGGGGAAGAGTCTTTTCAGCGATTGATATCGCGGGTTTCGGAGCCGGCGGTACAGGAGGCTTCGACGCCGTGGTCTCCTTTTCGGGCTGGTCGGAGGCTTGGCGACGACTGCCGACCAGGCGGCAGCGCGCTCTGGCGACGGCTCAGGCGCTCCAGCAATCACCATCGGGGGAACGGAGTAGCCGCGGAGGTAGGAGGCTGGTTACTAGCGGGACAGGCGGGGGACCCGAGAACGGATACCAGGCAGCAGCGCGGGTGGCTTTAAGGACTTTGGAAGCAACCAATGAGGAGGAGGAGGACCCCACAGACCCATCTTATAGGGAGGAATCCCTCCCACCAAGTGAAAACGAGGAGTCAGAGGGAGAAGGCAGGGCGAGAGAATCTGGAAGGAGAAGAGGTGGCGATGGGGGCCAAGCAACCACGCAAGTCACACAGACGGAACAGGGACCGTCAGATGCTGATCGAGCGGGTGACATTCCAACCCCAGTTCAGCCAACATCGGCGAACCGCGCTCGACGAAATCGGACCGCGGTCGCCACTACAAGCGGCGCGACAGACCGTCCAGAACCCATGTTATTTCTCGCCTGACGAGCTGGCGAGGCGGGAGGACTTGTTCGCGACAATCGCGAGCTGGGACATTGCTACACTCTGCGACAGTCGACAGCCTTCGCTGTCACGGCGTTTACCGCCAAATCTATGTCAACTGTTTTCGCAGGCGCTCCTGACACCGTTACTACACCTCTCGCGAAACCCCGAATCCGAGCCGGGGTGGCGCCTGCTGCTGTTTCTCCCGCGCCTAACACTTCGCCAAACTTCCCCACAGCGACCAGATTGGCCGGGGGTCAAGGCTCGGCTCCGAGCTTTCCAGCGTGGCGAATGGGAGCGGCTGTACCTGGACGCGATTGACGCAGTCAACACGCCTCCACCGCCACGCCACCGGCCCGATGCGACGGGAATCATTAGCCGAGCCGAGGGGCTCGCTAAACGCGGCAGTCTGCGTCGAGCCGTGTTGGCCTTGGAGTCAACGCCAGTCTGCACCCCCATCCCGGAAATTTTGGAGGAGCTCCGTCAGAAGCACCCACCTGCGGTACACGGGGCGGTGAACTGGCCCGTGCCACCAGAGTCAAAATTGTCCATCTCTCACGCCGAGTTTGCCAAAATCCTGGGGCGATGCAAGAACGGAGTGGGAGCCAGACCGTCAGGCACAACATTCGAGCACATGCGCGACGCGGCCACCACTAACGCAATGATCAGCACCCATCTGCACGCCTTGGTCAACACCCTGCTGGGGGGAAATTCGCCAGGGCCTGTGGCAAGCCTCCTGACCGCGTCACGGTTGATTGCCCTGGCCAAACCGGGGGGGGGGGGCTCGGCCAATCGCGATAGGCGAATGCTTGACGAGGTTGACAGCCAAGGCAGCACTGACAGCCATGGGGGAAGCTGCCCGCGAATATTTCCTGCCACTACAGTACGGGGTGGCAGTGCCAGGTGGAGCAGAGACGGTTATCCATACGGCCAGAGCATTCTTGGATGCCCGCCCCAACAGCCTGGTCCTGCAAGCAGATATTTCGAACGCTTTCAACAGTATCTCGCGACAAGCCATTGCCACAGCGTTACACGACCCCAAACTGTCGCCACTGCAGCCGTTTGTGAAACTCACCTACGGTAACCCGTCGCGACTGCTCCTGGACGCGAAATTCAACTGCGACACCCTGCTTAGTGAACGGGGTGTGCGGCAGGGTGACCCACTAGGCCCGTTACTGTTTGCAGCGGGCATCCACCCCATGCTCCGCGACACAGCAGAGGCACACCCCGACGTGCTCTGCTTGGCGTATGCGGACGATGTCACCTTCCTGGGTGACACC